CCTCACCAAAGGTCAAATCTTTTGTACAGTGAAAGTAAATTTTATTTATCTGGCCAGAATTTATCAAATTAAAGATGCATATTAATCACTCATACCATAATTTCCTGTCCCATTTACAGACTCGGGAGTGAGGGACAACACAACTCAAGTATACATATACTTTGAGACGAATATGTCAGTTGCTGTGGAAACCGCTGCTCCTTGTAACAAGAACAACAGGATCATTTGTGTGTAATGAGGTCAGGAACAGTACACAGGGCTGACAGCTTTACGTTCCCTCCGAAAGAACAAATGCAAAATACAAATGCAGCAAGCCTGGTTAAGGAGGCAGCTGTCCATGGAAGTCAAATGCACAATCTTCCTGATGATGGGAGGACACACTAACTAATTTAATTGAGCAGATTTTAATTATTGGTATCAATGAAATGTGAAAATAATCAATGTTTACTGTTTTAAAGTTATGAACTTGCAGTAAAAACTTGGAGTCAAAAGTATGAGTAAATACTGAGAATGATAAACATAGGTATCTATTCACAAATCATAGAGGGTCTTAGGGAAATACAAATTGAGGCTCTTAACACATCAGATGCCAAACATTATTTACTCTGTATTGTTATGGTTAGTATTACAGCATGATTTTGGTGCAAGTGCAACATTGTAGAAACTTAATTGAAATTTTAACTATTTAACAGTTCCATAAAATAATCTTTGAAAATCATATTTGTATATCTACAGTATAATCTAAAAAAAAAAAATGTATGTAGAATGAATGTGGTGATTACTGTCCTGGAGCAGATAAACTTTTATCCATAAATTTCCTCTTTACAAAGCACATCCACCACTGAAAAAAACAACAACAGAAAACAAGAATATCATCTTGGATTGAAATATGTTGTGATTAATAAATCATGACCTCTGAAGGTCACACATTCTTGTAATTTCTGACCTCTAACTGTCACACATCCTGGTACTTTCTGACCTCTAAATATCACACATTCTGGTACTTTCTGACCTCTAAAGGTCACACATCCTGGTACTTTCTGACCTCTAAATGTCACACATCCTGGTACTTTCTGACCTCTAAATGTCACACATTCTGGTACTTTCTGACCTCTAAAGGTCACACATCCTGGTACTTTCTGACCTCTAAATGTCACAAATTCTGGTACTTTATGACCTCTAAATGTCACACATTCTGGTACTTTCTGACCTCTAAAGGTCACACATCCTGGTACTTTCTGACCTCTAAATGTCACACATCCTGGTACTTTATGACCTCTAAAGGTCACACACAAATTTTGAACAATATCAGCAATAATTTCGTAATATTAAACCTCAATTTTTGGCATTAAACATGTGGCTTGTTATAATTCTCAACTAATTGAGCAATTAAAAGAATTGACAAAATCAAAATAATCTGTGCTCACATCCATTATCAGAGATAAAAATCTTTCAAGTTTCCTAATTTGTTTGGCCAGTGTGCCAAAACAGGTTTGACAACTGATTACAAGATTCATAATTACCTTTGTTGGTTTATCAGTTGTTGGATCAAACACCTTTTCACACATTCGTACACCAATCTCCTGCCGTAGCTGCTGTAGATATGCTCTCATGTTGTCTGTGATGGTAAACATAGAATCACAACTTAGATAAAAGCACATGTGAACCAAAAATCACATGTACTTTAAATTGGATAATCAAAAATATGACTTGTTTTTACCATCATTACAGAACTCACCCCTGGAGAGCACCTGTTTGCATTTCAGAGAACAAATGCAAACATTCACAATAACAAAGGATTTTCATTTCAGTTTCTGACTTTGTCAGTTGTTTTGTGTCATGGAATATTTTGATTCTAAATTGCAGCGTCTCAAATTTCATAGTTTAATGTTTTGTATTTGTTCAGAATTTTTGAATTTCTTGGTACTTAACTGAATCACTGTAATGCAAGCTCACAACAACTTCCAGGTTGCATGACTGTATAGATGCCTCCATCAAGAGAAATGACTAATTTTGACTTATTAAATGCCAGTTTTTATTTATAATTGCATGTTCTGGTTGTACATTTCAATGCAAAGAAAGGTTCACACAAAGTAGCCCAAGATATTGTTAACGTTGTTTTCACTAAGTTCACCGCCATAAGCAAAGCTACGTACAGTGATGTGAAGGTGTAAATGATATACAAATAACTGGTCAATTTCATGCCATTTTTTTTCATATGATGGACAACTCTGTAATTTTGTTAAGCACATGTGCTACCGTAATATCTGTATTAGAAGCTGCATTCCATTCTTTTTGAATAATTGAGAACTAAAAATTCATCATTTCTCATATGTATAGATTGCTCTAATAGAAGCCGCATTCCCTCTGGTGCATTGTATCATTTTAATAGAAGTCGTGTTTTCTAATACAGATGTTACAGTACTAATATAGCAAATATGGTACTCTCATTTCATAGTTAACTAGCACACAAATAGACAACAAATTTTCTGAAAAAATTAATGTTATACAGAACTATACATGCATTGAATTACCTTCTTCTTGTCTTCCATTTGGTCTATGATACATAGCATTTAAGGGGAATCCAGGCTCACCAGGTATATCCCACTTCATAATAGCCAATGAATGCATTTCTTTCAGACCATCTTTCTTGGCATGGCACTGTCAAGTAATATACAACTCTTATTATACCTCTCAAAAAAAATATTGACCTCCCTACCCTGTGCAAGTGTACCTTTCTCTATACGAATGCCAAAGAATCTGGCTAAGATTCATTCACTAACTGATACTGAAGGAAGGAACTTTGATTAAGGTCCACATGTGTTTGAGCAGGCCTGGTTGACGCCAAGATAGTGCATTAGATTGTCATAATGCCATTGCGATAAGAATATGCTCAAACAGGCCTGGCATGTCTTTCCAAAATGGCAATAGTGTTACAAATTATTATTAGCTCAGTAAAGGTACCATACTCTTCCAAATTACCACCTAGGGTCCTCAGCTCCAGAAAACATGTTTTTTGGGGGTGGGTATTTAGCTGAGTACCCCCGTCGAAAAATGACGCTGATGATAATTTTAGTTCAATGTGTGATAGATTGCAGAGAATATTACATCTCTTTAGGGAGAAAAAAAATTGCGAAATAGTTGGTTGTCATTGATTTCCACAACAAAACAATGAAACAGAAATGGTCACAAAAAATATGCACATTTTATTACAATATTAATTACATACCATCAGCATTAACAATGCAAAAATTACTAAAATCAGTGGTAAAACAGCCAAACATAAGATCCATATCATTCTCTTCATTGACGAACGTGTTCGATCATGCACAAATTATTGAAGAAGGCCATTTCTGCCATGACAATTTCTTGTACGATTTGACCCACAACAATGTCCTTTGACCTGATAGGTCAAGTCTGTTATTAACCAATCAGAATGCAGTTATGGCAACTTCTCTTTAGCAATTTTTGAAAGGTAGAGTAGTTTACGCACAGTTACCGTGGTCACACAATCTTCACTGTGGTCAACATCCATGCAGTCAGTGTTCTCCCCAGGCCAAAACAGCGTCGCGGGCCCCGACGCGATCGGATTTGCCTGCGACGCTATGTGTTTCCTCCGCGATGCTATCATTTATCCCGT